AGAGTGTTGACCAGGTCACATCTTATACATAATCAAAATCATCATTATAATACTTCTTAATCTTCCCATTTTTTCCAATATTCATCTCTTTTGGGTAATCCTTTATCCCAAATTTATCATTTTTCTCCATATCTTATTATTTCAACTTCTGCCAGATTAATTTTCCCCCCATTATTTTTTATCATTTTCAATTTTATATTTGAATAACATCATTTTGCACCTTATATTTCTTCTCAATTACAATTGCTCCAGTTGTTTACCATCTTTCTTCATTTCCGGGAAGGGTCTCTCTAATTCATTAACAATAATACATTTTTCTCATTCATTAACTGTTATGTATTGATACTTTTGAGCGGGAGTTTCAAACCTGCCTACGTTTCTGATTGGCTGACAGTCTCTCCAGGATTGTATATAAGGAGGACTGCAGCCTCTGAGTTTTTGCTGAAGTCTCACTGTAAATTAAAGAGCTGTTGTCACTTGCTTGGTTGTGCCTCTCGTTATTCCCGAACCACTTCATTGGCGACGAAGGTGGGATAGAGGTCACAACAAGCGAACCAGTGAGACCACGAGCTTCAGCTAGGCGACGAGGCGAACCACAGGAGGCATACCGAACATGTCTGCCTACGTTCCGCCCAAGCCTTTTGATCCGACCTGTGAAAAATGGGTCTCGTACCTGACGAGGTTCGAATGCTCGCTCGAAGCCAGCGACATGCAAGGGCTCTCCGCTAATCGGAAGAGGGCCCTCTTCCTAAGCCACTGCGGACCGGACGTGTTCGAGATGGCAGAGTCACTATGCGAGCCAACGCCGGTCCAGACCGTTTCCTGGGACACCCTGATGGCCACGCTCCGGGCTCACTACGCTCCCGTGCCCTCCAAGTTCGTGCAACGATACCAACTCAGACAGCGCGTACAGCGAGAGGGAGAACCGGTCAGCGCATACATGGCCAGCCTGAGAAAAGCCGCAACCCATTGCGACTATAGAGACTTGGACGATGCGTTGCTTGAGCAACTCATCTGTGGTGTCCGGGACATTAGGCTGCAACGGCACCTGCTCGCCAAGCCTGATTTAACGCTTGCTGGAGCTCTAGACGAGGCCAGGGCTCATGAAGCCTCCACAAAAGCCGCAGAGACGCTGCAGCATCCGCTGACCAGCAAAGACAACCCCAAGTCTGCCCCGGTGCACAGAGAAGACGCCGGATCCAGCTCGGAGTCCGAGTCGAATGAAGACGTTTTCCGAACAGAGCACCAGAGAAAAGACACTGGCAGCCCCCGGCGAAGCTGTCCCAGCTGTGGAGGGCACCATGACAGACTGTCCTGCAAATATAGGGAGGCTATTTGCAGGCGTTGCGAGAAAAAAGGGCACTTGGCGCGAGTCTGCAGAGCCATTCTGCCCAGAAAACACCAACCACGTGAGTGCCGCAGCCAACCAGAATCAACGTGCCCGAAACAACCAACGAGAGAAGGCGGCGCGAAAAAACGGCGCGAATTTGAACCTCGAGATGGCCGCAGCATTCACATAGACCAGGCCAGCGCGGAAGTTGAGGACAAAGTCAGCACGGTGGTCGAAATCAACGGCAAGCCATGCTCAATGGAGATCGACACCGGATCGGCTCTCTCCATAATGTCTTGGGCGACCCTAAAGACCCTCCTGCCGTCGTTCCGGAAGGACCAGCTCTCCAAACAGAGACTGCGCATCCTAGACTACCAGGGGAACCGAGTCCCCCTCGAAGGCGTGGGCACGTTCCGAGTCACCTACGGAGACTACGAAAGAGACCTGCCACTGACCATCGTCACGAAGCAGCTTCCCAGCCTTCTCGGCATGGGGTGGTTCCGAGCCCTCGGCATGGGTTTCACCGGCGTCCACCAGATGCTCAAGTCATCGTTAAAAGACAGTCTCCTGACCGAGTTCCAGGACGTTTTCGGGGACACGTTGGGCAAGTATGTGGGGACCCCTATCTCCCTTAACTTAGACCCCAACGTAGCCCAAATAAGACTCAAGGCCAGACGAGTGCCTTTCGCATTGAAACCAAAGATCGATGCGGAACTGGACAAACTGATTAAACAAGGGGTGTTGGTTCCCGTCGACCATGCAAAGTGGGAAACCCCTATAGTGACCCCAGTTAAGTCTGACGGCTCAATTAGAATCTGCGCCGACTACAAGTGCACGATCAACAAGGCTTTGCAGCCGAGCGCCTATCCGGTGCCGATCGTGCATCATCTACTACACTCCCTGGGGCCCGGAAAATTTTTTGCCAAATTAGACCTGGCTCAGGCCTATCAACAATTACCAGTTGATGATGCCACGGCAGAGGCACAAACGATTGTTACTCATAGAGGTGCATTCAAATGCACCAGGCTCCAGTTTGGGGTGAGCGTCGCACCCGGCCTGTTTCAAAGCACCATGGAGCGCCTGCTGCAAGGGCTTCCCGGAGTGCTGCCCTATTTTGATGACGTTCTAGTCAGCGCTCAGGACGAACGTCAGTTAGGGGATAGAGTAAGGAACGTCCTTTCTAGATTTAGGGAAGCGGGACTAAGGCTAAAAAATAAATAAATGTATGATCGCTGTCCCCTCCGTTGAATTTTTGGGGTACAGGGTGGATGGCACAGGCATCCACCCTACCGAAAGCAAGGTGAGAGCAATTAAGAGCGCACCTGCCCCCAAGACCAAAGCTGAGCTCCAAGCCTTCCTTGGACTGCTCAATTTTTACTCAATGTTCCTAAAAGACAAAGCTACCGTCGCAGATCCCCTACACAAACTATTGGCGAAGAATGTACCATGGGTCTGGGGGAAACCACAAGCAGCCGCTTTCGAGGCAGTTAAGAGACTTCTATCAGAAGACAGTTTCCTAATCCAATACAACGCAGCGCTACCGCTTGTATTGGTTTGTGACGCCTCCCCCGTAGGAGTTGGTACCGTCCTGGGCCATAGACTGCCGAACGGCCTAGAGGCGCCCATTGCGTTTTACTCTCGCACCCTGTCAAGCGCAGAGCGGAACTATAGCCAATTGGACAGAGAAGCTCTGGCTGCAATTGCGGGGGTTAAAAAGTTCCACGAATATCTCTTTGGCCGGCAATTCGAACTTGTGACTGATCACCGGCCCTTGCTAGGACTTTTGGCAGGCGACAGGCCCACCCCCGCTGCCCTGTCCCCACGTTTGACTAGATGGGCTATTTTTCTTTCGGCCTATTCGTACCAACTTGTACATCGACCTGGATGGACCCTGGGTCACGCGGATGCCCTCAGCCGCTGTCCCCTACCTGACTTACTGACCAATCCAACACCTGAGGCCTCCGTCCTTCTACTGGACACATTAACTTTGGGACCTATTTCCTCTGCCGAAGTGGCTAAAGCCTCAGCCAGGGACCCAATCATTCGCACTGTGATGGGGTGGGTGCTGAAAGGGTGGCCGGTCAAGGTGGACGGGGGGGACTATCAAGGTTTTGTAAACAAACGAAACGAACTGTTTACGCAAGGGGGTTGTTTATTGTGGGGTGATCGGGTGGTAGTGCCAACAAAACTGCGAACGAGGGTCTTGGAATTGTTGCACGAAGGGCATCCGGGCATTGTCAGAATGAAAAGTTTAGCCCGCAGTTACGTTTGGTGGCCCAACATGGACCAAGTTATCTCTGAGTGGGTGGGGAAGTGCAGACCCTGCCAGGAGTCCCGCCCCGATCCCCCGGTAGCGCCCATCCGGGAGAAACCAAAAGGGCCATGGGGGAGGATCCATATTGATTTTGCTGGCCCCTTCCACGGGCAAACGTTTTTAATTGTAGTAGATGCCTTTTCGAAATGGCTCGAAATCATTTTAATGCTCTCTACCACAGCCGAGGCTGTTATTAAGGCCCTTCGCAAGCTGTTCGCCACACATGGCCTACCGGATACCCTAGTATCTGACAACGGCCCTCAGTTCACAGCAACCCTGTTCGAGGGATACTTGGCCGGACTGGGCATCCGCCATGCCCTATCGGCCCCGTTCCACCCGGCTTCTAACGGATTGGCCGAACGTTTTGTAAGAACGGCCAAAGAGGCCCTATCCAGACTAGATAACGGGGACTGGCAGGCCAGGATAGATCAATTCTTAGCTGTCCAGCATGCCACACCATGCACAGCCACAGGGAGAAGCCCAGCAGAGCTCCTCATGGGCAGGAAGCTCCGATGCGTGTTAGATAGGCTTCATCCCAACTATTCGCACGAAAACTTCAAGGGGGAGACCTCCGGACTAAGACAGTTTCAGGTTGGGTCCCCGGTGTTCGCTCGCAACTATGCCAGCGGACCTCTATGGGTTGCAGGAACCATAGTGGGCATAACGGGCCCGAAATCCTATACGGTAGACGTGGGGGTAGACAGACTCTGGAAGCGCCACATAGACCAGCTGAGAAAAAGGGTAGTCGGCGAAGCAAACATAAATTTAGACATATCCGAGCCTAACTATAACAACTTTCCCAAAACAGCTAACTCAAGCCCGGGTTCGCGAGAATACTTAGCTGACAAGCCCTGGTTCCAGCGCCGCCCCAGCGAGTTGCCACTCCCAACCGGGGATAACCACGCCCCGGACAAAATCCAGGAGGTTCCATTGGCGGAGCCGGGAGAGACAGAAAGTCCCTCCGACCAGCTCGACGCCCCACCAAACACTGAACTGCGCAGGTCAACTAGGACGAGAACTCGCCCTGGGCACCTGTGAGATTTTGTGTGTACTTATGTAAATTTTTGAATGTCAGTGCCTTCTGGGAAGGGAGGGGTGTTATGTATTGATACTTTTGAGCGGGAGTTTCAAACCTGCCTACGTTTCTGATTGGCTGACAGTCTCTCCAGGATTGTATATAAGGAGGACTGCAGCCTCTGAGTTTTTGCTGAAGTCTCACTGTAAATTAAAGAGCTGTTGTCACTTGCTTGGTTGTGCCTCTCGTTATTCCCGAACCACTTCATTAACAATAATACATTCATCTTAATTTATTTTATTATCAAAATTAATAATATTATTAAATTACTTATATTTCAGTATTTGAGAGACTGCTACAAAGAGGAGAGGATCAACTTATTTCCCAAACATCAGAGGACAGGACAAGATACAATGGATGAAAACTAATGAAGGAAAGAAACTACCTGGAATTAAGGAAAAAAATCCTAACAGTGAGAGCAATAAACCAGTGGAACAGCTTGCCTTCAGAAGTTGTAAGTGCTTAATCACTGGAGTTTTATAAGAAGAGACAGGACAGTCACTTGTCTGAAATGGTATAGGGTCTCCTGCTTGAGCAGGGGGCTGGAAAAGGAGACCTCCATGTTCCCTTCCAGTTCTATTCTGATTGTTTTCTTTGTAGAAGACTGAATGGATGTTATTCTTGTAATTCCTCAAAATATTTTTCTTCAAGATACCTAATATTAGGATTATTTGATCTGGATACTGCAGGTCCGTTTGAATCTTAATGATAACATTCAGGGCTTTACTGTACCTCTGGAGCCTCTCCCCTCCTGCCAATAAATATCAAACAGGTTTACAGTGACAGAGCCAAGGTTGACTAGAGTTTCAGTGTTGCTCACCATAATTTCCTTCAATCAAATTCCATGCAATGGATATCAGAAACAATTGTAATCCTGGGTATTTCATATTGTTGCCATTCTTCACTAAACCATCATTATTCACTAAACCATCATTCAAGTCACAGTTTGCGAAATAAGAATGGACTAAGAGTCCATTTTTTTAAAACTTTGCATCTAAGTTTGGTTAAGTGAGAATTTTTTAATAAATTTTTTTCCTTAAAATGTATTCTGGCTTGCACTTCTCCAAACAAAGGTATTTGTGTGTGCAGTTACGTCTAATATACACAAAGATTGCTAATAATTTTCCTTTACAGAATACATTTTCTATGGTATTTTCATATCTGTATTCTCCCCAATACATTTTTATTGCTGGCTCTAATCTATTTACTAGTCAGAATGTGCAAAATTCAGCAAATAAGCATTCAAGTGGAAATTCTTTCCTCCCCTAGTTTTAGATGCACATTTGTATGAATATGACGAATTTTAAGAGGAAATATTTTTCTCCATAAGGACTGTTCTTTTTCTAAGGAGTTATGAAGATTGTATCAATGAAGAGAAATATACAGGTAGTTCTCCATTTACGACTGTCATGGAGCTTGCCCATTATGTTAAGTTGTGACAGTCATACAGCGGAACACCACAGATCCATTTTTTGCAGCCATCGTTAAGCAAACACCACAGTTGGTAAACAAATCTATTATTCACTATAGGTGTTTTTACTGAAAACTGGAAGTAAACATCAGTTTTCAGCAAACATGTTACAAAGCATAGTCAAATAATTATAGGATGCTACAAATAATCAAAAATGTGAGCTGGCTGTTAAGTGTCTGAAATATGACTGTGTGACTTGGGGGGGCGTGATTAGAACTTTGGAACATGATTGTATGTATCCTTTGGTGGTGGTGGCCCTTCATAAGCTTGAATAGTCACTAACTAGTTGTAAATCAAGGCCTACCTGTGTCCCTCAGAACCTATAATTCAAGGCAAATTTCTTGTTCTTCTTTCCATTCCACTGAGATGTGCTCATTTCTGGGAATGAGAAGAATCAAATTCTGGTAAAAATTTGTATAAATAAGTCATTTATAAATTAATTAATGTATATATTTTACATGTTAAGTAAAATGTTACAAATATGTATCTATTCTGCCCGCTTCCCCTACCAGCTTTTTTACCAAGGAGATCTTTTGCAGTGAATGATGCAAATTCTCATGCATGTTTGAACTAATGATAAGGAACATTACTGTCACTCAGGTAAATTTATAACATCATTGCATCTGAAATGAAATGTGAATTATTCTAGGATACTTGCACATACCCAGGCAGGTAGCCTGTGGCATCCATTCTAACAACTAGAGATGTAGCCCAGGGCTGGGTGTGATTGCATGGGAAAATAAACTCTTTTTCAATTTCTCAAGATACAAACCAAATGCTTCACAAATTGGTCATGTTCCATTTAACTCATATTAATCTGCATTGTATCTCCTAAGGGCAGAAAATGGTCCATTTTCTTTCTTTCTTTTTTTCCATATAATTTGTTTCGGTTTGTTTTATTTTTGATAAAACATATTCAAAAGTGGGTATGAAATTATAATAAAAGGAAACACCCCCTCACCCACAGAAAAATGTTATTCATTTAATCAGCTACTAGCTTAACTGAAGCAACTTTTTTTCTCACCATATCCAACACAATGTGTATTTGTAGAGCAAAATTTTTATCTAAATGCAGTATATTTCTTAAAGGCCAAACAAATTTATCTCATGTAATTAGTATAAGGATTTCTGAACATTTAGTTTCAGGATTTTTTTTAAATCAAATGGTGAACACCTTTTTAAAATAAAAGATTAAGGAAAATTTATTATTTGTCCTCACCTAGTATTCAGATTTTTGGACTATCAGAACAGAACAGAATAACAGAGCTGGAAGGGACCTTGGAGGTCTTCTAGTCCAACCCTCTGCTTAGGCAGGAAACCTTACCCCACTTCAGACAAATGGTTATTCAATCTCTTCTTAAAAACTTAAAAAGAGAGAGTGCTTGTGTTCTGTTACCATGGAAATCTTCCATGGCTGTTTTATGTTGGGACTCCAAAACTGAGGGGACTTATTCTGCCAAATATATGTACGGAAAAGTTGTGAATCTCTAGAATTCTAGAAATATACTTTCTTTGGACTTTAGCACATCCAACTGAATAGCTTGCTCAATTAATGTAGAAGAAAAGGGAACTAGGTTGTAAGTAACTTTGCAGAGGCCATCGTAACTCTGAACGGTTGCTAAATGACTGACCATTAAGTAAGAACTGCCTGTATTGTCTGTGGGCTACCAAATCTATAAAAGGTCACTTTAGTGAGATGCTTCATGTTGTTGTAGAGAAGCATTGCTTGCTACATAAAAGCTTAATGGTGGTAGTATCTATCTTATTGAGATGTTTTACTTTGTTCTGAAACCACTTCTGGCTACTAAAAGTGGAAGTGTATTAAAGCAATGTGAAGCAAAGCACTACAGAGACTACACAGACTTTGCTTCATTTTTTAGATGAGAAGCAGCTTCAAAGGGATATTTCCTCAAAGTGTTGTCCAAACAAAAGAACCTTTCAGAATTTCCCATAGCCTTAGGGGTTGGTGTTAGTCAAAAAACAAAACAAAACAAAACAAAAAAAACAAAACAAAAACACACACACACACACAGGAAAAAATGCTCTCAAACTGCCTTTTTCTAGTCCTATAAAATATTTGAAATGAAAACAGGAAACAGTCTACAAAGATTAGTGGTGGCAACCAGGACAAAAGCTATATATTTAAATAAAGGAGATATAGTTGATTCTCCAGTCATGTAGTTCACAGTTTTACTTTCAGTAACATTCACCTTTACAATCCGATTATAGATTTGAAGGATTTCTGATAGACTGCATCCAAAACTTTTAAGAATGATGTGGCTATAGATGATACTGTGAATAAAAAAATAGCCAGTGATATATTATTCTTTAAGTAATCTTAATGACAAGCTAAGACAGATATCACAGGTTCTAAGAAAATGATTTCACCAATCATTCTTTGGAGACTACCTAGAAGTCTTCCTTATAAATGAGAACAGACATTAAGCACAACAGACTTCTAAGCAAACAGTGCTGTTTCTTTGAGCTTTGCTCATGGTACAGCCCAGCCTCATCTGTGTTTTTGAAGTGAAATATTGTAAGATTGCTAATCAATATGAAGAGTGACAGGATCATTTGTCAAAGACAAGTCAGCATGGCAGCTGTTGTTGTCAGTCTCCCTTTTCTGTTTTCCAAAAAGCTGGGGAGAGACCTGATTATTGGCCTTAGGTATGGCCATTCAAGCATTCTAGCCAGGCAATTCACTGTTGCATGAGAAAATAGTTACTATCCCTCTGCTTTTTGCTAATATTCCTTGTGGTTAGCAGAAGTTGAAGGGAATAAGCTGCCAAGAGACTGGAAGGAAGTATATAGTTTCAAACAATGGGATGTCAAAGACATGAGACACACTGCAAGAGACCAGATAATCTTTGAGAGATAAGAAACCTATTGACCTATAAACAGTAGATGACTGTTGTGTATGTGTTACCACTGGGTGGTAGATACTCTTGGATGGTCTTCTTGCTAGAAAGCCAGAATTTCCAAAAGCTCCAGCAGATTGTAATGAACACGTCCTTCTGCTCTAGTCACTAACCAGAAAAGCAACAGATCATTCTTTTAAAAAAACCTCCCACAGACGATAAATAAATATGACTATGAAATATTCTACCTACCACAATTTTTTATAATGGCAATGCTCCAACATATAGGAGCACAGGAACGAAAGTATTGCATTGAGCTTCAGAGCTGTTGTGGAAATGAATGTAATTAGCCACTGTAGTTCAGTATTTAGTGCAAATAAGTAGACGTGATTGTTAAAAACAAAAGAAAAAAAGGATGAAAGAAGGATAAGTCACAGAGAAGTTAGTGAATGGAATTGGGGAAAAGTAACACCCATACCATAAGGAGTTTTAAAAGGTAGCAGATGTGAAATGACAAAAGGTGAAGGAAGATTATCACAGGAGATATATGAAGATTTTCCTTAAACCAAGAAGTAATACAAGAATTGAAGAATTTAAAAGTTATATATGAAATTGTGCAGTATTGTTCAGTTGTTATCATTTTTAAAATATGCATGTTTCTTCTGATATTTAAATTAAATTTAGGATGTAACTTTTTTTTAATAAAGTTGCGGGTACAACTTAATAGTGGTGCAGTAGACATTTGTGGTATCAAATTTCTTACTCCTAGACCAGTAAGCATCTTCCATCTTAAAGATGCTAGTAAAATCTATTATGCCTGTATCAATCAGGAATTACAATTCTGTACAAGGTAACTGCCTCTTTTTCTTTTTCAAGAAGTGGATGCTGATTTTGCCAGGGCTCTTCCCATATATGCATACCTGCAGAAGATCTACTTCCATTTCCGCTTCTACTTAAGAACCAAACAAGTCTGGATAATCTTTAAAAATATGTTAGTAATATATATAAAAACCTCTTCTCAAAATGTGGTCATTTGGTATGAGTACCTAAGTTTAAAATTGTAAAACTCAGTTGTCCAAAATGCAACAGTGGCAATACAAATGTAAAAATTTAATTGGAAAAGTTTGAGCAATACAATGTTGTCTTTGAATCATTTCCTTCCCTGTTGTCTTTAAACATTTCCTTTCCTGTTTAATAAAGACAGGAACAAATGACAATTAAAAACTCAGCACAAACCTGTTGGTATTTTTTCTTCCTGTCCTCATGATGGGAGGGAAGCATGCTGTTTTTGAAAATTGCTGCATCCAAAGCATACCTTTTACAAGATCAGTGGAGAAGCTGCCCTTACACAAGGGTAGCTGCAGCTGGAAGTGGTTATCTTCACCAATCTGCCAGGGACCAAAGAGAAAATCATTGCAAACCTTTTCAACTATTTTTTTTCTGCTGTTGTCCTTACCTTCCTCCAAGGGTATTACTTACTTTGGGTTTTTTTCCCCCAGAGCTTCGTATACCTTTGACTGAAGATTAGTATACTCGTCCTATCTGGAATGGTTATCCTCATCCATCAAGCACATAAGGACACAAATGGAGCAGTCAAGGAGGAAGGGGACATCCACCCATCTGATTCAACTAGATCAGCTGAATCAACCCAGATGTTGCAGCCAATTTTTCCTGGGTCAGAATGTTGTGTGAATAATCATTTGAATTGATGTAATTTTACTGTCGTAATTTATATCTCGTCCTTTGTTTAATTTATTATTATTACTTGTTTTAACTTTCTGAAACTTCCCTATATTCATTTTCAAATCATGAGGTATGAAAATAGAGAGAAGAAATTCCAACAATTCCTTTCAAATATGGAAATCTTGGCTTTTAAGACTGTCCTTAGAAGAAACAAGAACATTTTGGTTTTGCAATATTGTGCAATAAGATGATTTTTGGTACTAAATTTTGTCTGATTCATAACTGCAACAATGCAAGGAAGCAGATCAATCTGAATTTTCCCATTGTTCATTCTCCACTCAATTCCAAATGGCAGTTTGAGATATTATTGAAAAAGTAATCTTCATCTAAGATTTGGAGATTCTCCAAATGATATACCCATGATATACCTATCATTCATGGAATGAATCTCAGTTATATTCTTAAGTTTACAATTTTATTTATTTGCTTTTGAAATTATATTTAATGACATTGTCTGTTCATTGTGTTTTATTTGTGTCTTCAAGAACAAAGGGACACATGCAAAATATCAATTATTACATCACAGTAGGTATCATTAGACAAGACTATAATGGGCAAGTGTAGGACTGGTGTCACTGATATAGTTTTATAGCTACTTAGCTGCAAACTAATGCCCAACACAAGGTGGAAGTGAACATTAACAATGATCTTCAATCTCAATTCTTTCTTTGTTTTACATTTTAGTTTAATGTAAGCAGCATCAGAAGAAATCCTGAGAGCAAAAAATTTAAATTAGTTACTTGTACAGCCATAAAATGCCTAATTTATTTTTGACAAGATAATGTGCATTATAAACCATTTACAACAAATTATATAATGGATTTTGATCTCTAATGTTATCTAATATTCAAATGAAGTCATCATTTCATCATCTAATTTTAAATCTGCTTCCGAAAATAAGGAAAATCCTGCTTCGCAAACATATTTTCCTTCCCATTTGTTAATATGGATATATTTTAAGTTTTTACCAATATATTCTGTGAAAATAGCTAATAGGAATGCAGTTAAACATCTTGAAAGATCATTGCAGAGGTTATGGGAAATAAACCTACAAGAGTCTTTCTGAATCTGAGGCCTACATCAAACATCACAAGCAATAGAAAGTTCTCTGTGTAAATTTAGCCTGTAGCTACTGGGCCACTTCCCAAAGTGCTCCAGGTTACATTTTAATCCAAAGGCAGAACATTCTCATTGTTTAAATTGATTATCGGTCAGAAGGGCTATTCTTGGGTTCACTTACATTCCACATTAACCATGGCCTGCTATTCAAAATCTTGACTTGACCTTTGCAGAATAGCGGGAAGCGGACAGAGAACAAACATAATCATAGAATAATGTAGGAATAAAAGTATATGAAATAAAAACCCAGTGAAACATTTTAATAACAATAGAAAGGGTTTAATAAAAAAAATCTGGACTTTAAATGAATGAAAATACATGTATTTAATTATGGACTCAATTCAAGAAAGGAAAATAACTCTAAACATCTTTCCTTACTGGAAGATAGAAACAAACTAACTGCTTACTTTTGGTTAGACTTGAAGAAACACAAATGTAACTTAGATTCTCAGAGGAATTCAAGCTCATATATACCGTATTTTCCGGCGTATAAGACGACTGGGCGTATAAGACGACCCCCGAATTTTCCTGTTAAAATATAGAGTTTGGGCTATACTCACCGTATAAGACTACCCCTCTTCCAACGCACACCAAATAAAAATTAAAAAAACATCAACTGGCTCACCCACAATGTAAAAGCAGCTGTGCTAGACCCAAAATGGCCCCTGAAACAAGTAGGAACCTCACACAGCCACAAAAGCCTCCCAAAAAAACAACTTTCACACTTTACACACACACACAACACAACACAACACAACACAACTGGCTCACCCACAATGTAAAAGCAGCTGTGCTAGACCCAAAATGGCCCCTGCAACAAGCAGGAACCTCACACAGCCACAAAAAGCCCAAAAACCCAACTTTCACACTTTACACATACAAAATTCCACATACAGCTTTGTGAGATTTTGTGTGTTTGTGTAGTTAGAGTGAAACACTATAGAAACACACAATCTCAGAAAGCTGCACAAATATTTTATTTTATTTTTATTTTTATATGAAAGCTAAATTTAAAACTTCCTAAACTTTAAATGGCTAGGTCTAAAAAAGAACAACTAAAAAAAACCCCAATTAACTATTTTTTTTAAAGATCCCAAAGGGGAAAAAAACTTACCCAATAGAACAGGGGTCTCCAACCTTGGCAACTTTGAGACTTGTAGACTTCAACTCCCAGAATTCCTCAGCCAGCTTTGTTTTGCTGGCTGAGGAATTCTGGGAGTTGAAGTCCACAACTCCCTGCTTGCTTGATTGCAGGCAGGGAGTTGCTTGCTGATGGAATGGATTCAGGCAAGTGAAGCAAGCGAAGCAAGGCAAGCAGCTAAGGCAGTGGTTCTCAACCTTCCTAATGCTGCGACCCTTTAATACAGTTCCTCATGTTGTGGTGACCCCCCACGATAAAGTTATTCCTAAAACCATCAAAAATATGTGTTTTCTGATGGTCTTAGGCCAGGGGTCCCCAACCTTTTGGACCTCAGGGACCACCAACTTCATAATTTTAAATTTCGCGGACCACTAATACGAATCCAGTGCGCCGCTTGCTGAAGCACCTGGACTCCCAGTACGGGATTTTATTTATTTATTTATTTATTTATTTATTATATTTCTATACCGCCTTTCTCCCGTAGGACTCAAGGCGGTGTACAGTCAAGTCAATGTTGTCGGTGCTCCCGTAGCGTCATCAGTCAGCGCCAGCAACTCAGATTCGGGAAGCTGTGCCGATCTCGTCAAGGCTGCATGCCGCTCAATGCTGGACCCAGCTGGTTGCTGCGCGGAGCTTCACCCAGGCATCCAGGGGGATATTACCGACGCTCCAACTTCCCCAGACAGGTGGGGCTCACCATCACTGGGGGTCAGCTGGGGAAGTCGGAGCATCAGTAATATCCCCCTGGATGCCTGGGACGGCGGGGGAAGCTCCGCGTAGCAACCAGCTGGGTCCAGCATTCAGCGGCATGCAGCCTTGACGAAATCGGCACAACTTCCCCTCAATGTTGCCGGCGCTCCCGTAGCGTCATCAGTCAGCGCCAGCAACTCAGATTCGGGTACCTGGCGTATAAGACGATCCCCGACTTTTGAGATGATTTTCCTGTGTTAAAAAGTCGTCTTATACGCCAGAAAATATGGTATGTAAAATATTTTCAGAAAAAAATTCAGAAAATACAATTACCACTTAATGAAGGATAATTCATTCATTAGACCTGGCTGGACCTGGCTGGAGTGATATGATCAAGTTGTTTTTTTTTTTTTTTTGGTTTTTTTTTTTTGCTTTAATTTATATGCCACCCTTCTCCGGAGACTCAGGGTGGCTTACAATGCGTTAAGCAATAGCCTTCATACTTTTGTATATTTATACAAAGTCAGCTTATTGCCCCCACAATCTGGGTCCTCATTTCACCTACCTTTGAAAGGATTGAAGGCTGAGTCAACCTTGAGCCTGGTTAGATTTGAACTTGCAGTAATTGCAAGCAGCAGTTGTTAATAACAGTGCTTTAGTCCACTGTACTACAGGCTCTTTCTGCTCACAAGGCAAACAGGGTTACCTATTGTCAAGTAATAAATTCCTGAAAGTCAACAATTGGTGTTAATTTTCTGATTTGGAATATACATATAAACCCCCTTTGATAGACAGACAGTATCTAAATATACTAGAATTGTAATATTTCCAGAAACTATTATGAAAGAAAATCTGAAGGATGTGAAGCTCTGTGGTAACTCATTTAATTTTTTTAGAGATAGGGTCAGTGTTGCTTTGTCTGTCTGTGATAGGGTTTGTGTTGTTAAAAAAAAACTGGATATGTTAGAAATAAGAAGAGAAGTCTTAAGAAGAAACAAGGCAGCAATTTTCCAGTACTTGAAATGCTATCATAAAGAAGAGGATGTGGATTTTATCCACCATGTTGAATGAAAGTAGGACAAGACTGAATAGGTAACATCTTGATAAAGGTCCAAATTCAAAATAAGGAATTTTCTTACCATGAGGGCTATTAAAGTTGGACACTAATTGTCTCAAATAGTCTGAGGAATGTCGTGGATATTTTGGAATAAGAGCTCCTTTCCATGATTTCTGTTGCTCTATAGTTTTAATTTCAAGGGAAAACACTTATTAATGTTTTGCACATACTTCTTATTTAGATAAATTAAGCAAAAACTGCAGCAAAAATGTTTACAGACTGTGAAATGAATAATTAAATGGCAAATGCTACACACAAGTGTAAAAGGAAATTCATTGGGAGGAAAATCAGTGCTACATATATGCTGATGGAGTCTCCAGTAAAACTAAGAAAACTACAGATAGTGGCAAATTCTCAATTACATTGTTGACTTGTGACTGTTGAGATAATATGATTAAAAGCTTATCCCCCTATCTAACTGCTCCATTACCTCAATTGTATCAGTTTTTGAAATTTTCCTAGCTGCTCACAAGGCAACTAGGAAACTATTATATTATGCCTTTTTGCTGAAGTTTTTAAATAAGCAAATACATACAATTGTAGTAGTCCAATAAGCATGACTAATACTACAGATGAATACTACTCTCATCTATTTCTACTCCCTTTTCATCTCCTCATTCTCATGTCATATGAATGTTGAGGAAAAGTTAAAAATAAAAGAAGATAGAGATACAACTGTGATGGCATATGTATGGCACGTGTGCTGGAAGAGGCACACAAAGCCATCTCTCCGGGCATGTGAGCTGTCACCCGTTGCTCTTCCAGATTCTGGTGTGCCTGCCAGCTGGTCTTCATGCGTGTGGGAGCGCAGGAAACCAGAAAAGCAGCCAGCTGGTACACGTGCACTCCGGGAAGATGATCTTCCATTTTCCGGTGCGCACATATGTGCACTGGCCACCTGGTCTTCCGGTTTCTGGTGTTCATGCACACACGAAGACCAGCTCTTCCGGTTTGCGGCACAGGTGTGTGCGTTCCTGCGCACATGCTCCCATTTCGGCACTCAGTAACGAAAAGGTTTGCCAACACTGAGATAGAATGTGTAAAGCACCCTATTTCCTCAGGGCCTCTGTAGAATTTTGTTTCTGCTTTAGCAATAGGAGAGAGGGAAAATGCTCTTTTAACTCTTTAATCCTGTTTTCTGACAACATTGTTCAGGTATACTTTAGCTGCAAACAGGATTGATTTTTGTGTTTGGTTGACAAGTTCTGTTTGTGTGATGCTCTAATCTATCCCATAAGTTAAATGCATCGTGAAAAGATAGCCACTGTACCGCTTTGGAGAAAAGACAAATTAAATATTGGAAATAATTAATGAAGGAATAAAATGGAATTATCAATAATGTTATGCCTTTATGCAAATCTATAGTTTTTAGAAACTATATAAATCAA